AGAAACAGTCTGGCACAGGCGACAGCACTTCCATGTGCTTCTCAAAGAGGCTCAATATGACGTCAGTCTGCTTTATTTATCTTTCTTTTGCCTTTCTCTATTCTAACAAATTAGATTAAATGGGCAAATAAACCAGGAAGGTCTTTTTACATAAAACCGGCTCTTCTGCATCTTTCACTGAGTTCATGTCAGGAATTTCTGATGGCAGGAAAACTACTCAGCCTGCTAATTCCAACTAGGACGTGTAATGGATACTTGTAACTGAGATTTTTACAAATCAATATTCTGAAAAGTGTCTAATTTTGGTGTGTCTGGGAACATTTGCTGGGTAATTTGCTGGCGTTAATACTTCTGCCCTTTGCAGCCGATGCAAATGGGAAAGTGATACCAACCAGAAACCAGAACAGACCTGGTCATGCCTTTTGTAATTCACACTTAGTGAAATACAGAAGTGAGCAAACACTAAACCCAGCGGAACTAACTGCAGAAGGAAAACTCTTCATGTTTGTAATAGGAGCTAATACTGCCAACTCAAAAGGTATCTATCAATCTGTGTCCCTTTAAAAAGAAATTAAATAAAATAAATAGGAATACTTGTGAGCAGATACACTGAAATTCAAGAATTCAATTATTTTAAATTGGCTTGACATTTGGAACTAATATTTTTGCAAAGAGTACACGAAAAGGTATATTCTAGTGAGCTAAAAAGGTGTCTGTAGCTGTAGAATTTTTTCATTTTTATATTATTATATATTTTATTTTATTTGTAGCACTTTTTGGTTTTGTAAATAAATGATGTATACACACACACACAGAACCCAAACCCTTTTTCGAGATGTTGTGCTTTCAGATCCTGAGGTTTTACCATAAGATAGGAACTGAATTCTTGCACCGTACAGCTCATGCACGTTGCTGGACATAATTTTACTTGCAAGGAATAAAACTGATTCACTGATGCAAAAATTAGGAAATTATAGCCATTGAGAAAATTCTTTGTGTTTGAGTTGCACATTATAAGAAATGCCAGTTATTATTTTTTCACGCTGTTTATTGTATATTATTATAAAAGCATTAATTTTCCATTGACTCACTGGCTTTAAAAAGTCCTCTTACAGCCTGCGAAGTACGAAGGGATTATGGGAACATATTTGTATTTCTTAGGCGGTCTGATAAATCATCACCTGCTGGAAGGCATAATCCTGAAAACACTTGGGATGATGATGTTACCTGACTTCAAATCCACCTACATCCCATGCTGAGCCCAGGCTTGGGAGCCAGCTGGGACACACTGGGCATGACACCCCCATGGGACTGGGGTGCACCTACAACATACCCAAAGTGTTGCTCATCACTGTAAGGGATCAGCGTGGCTGCTTTGCTACTAGGAGGCTGAGTGACTGTCTTCCCAAAAGCAGCCCCTGACGGTGTCTGCCTCCTGAATGAAGTGCAGATGGTGGGTGTAAGCATGTGGTCCCTCTCTTCTCCCTCTGCCTCACAACATGCTTCTCCCGTGTTCCAGACGAGGTACCCAAGTCTGTGATGCCATGTGAGCTACCTGGGGCTGTGACAGTGTCTTACTGTTCTGTGACAGGGCACAATGCACGTGCATGTGGGGAGCAAAGGAACTCTTTGGGTTTCTGCTGGATTTGCTGGAAAACACTTCTGAGCCTCTACTTTTCCCCACGCTTTTCATTCCTTGGGAACAGGACACCTGCTGTACCTTGACAAAAGCTGCTTTCTTCCTCTCATGCTAAATTGCCAGACCACTGGGTACTCTGCTATAGGCTGTATCCACACCTACTGTCTCTTTCCTTTCCCCAGGAAGGACTAAACACAATAGATAGGAAGGCTGCAGGTTTGCAGCCCCACTTTAAAGCAAAATTCCACCATTTTGGCTCCTGAGAGTTCAAAGTTTGGATTTGATCCTAATCCTCTTTTTGGCTATGCAGTATTTAGGGCAACTGCATTATTGTGGTTTGGGGTTTTCTTTGGGGGGGGGGGGGGGCTTGGTTTGGTTTTTTTTGTGGTTTAAAGGTATATTAAAGCATGGATGTTACCCATTTAATAAGCAAAAAAAGTAAGAAAAAAAGCACGTGTCTTTATGGGTAGCTGCATTTGGAGTGTGACCATGTAAACTGAAGTACTCCTTCCTCTGTGCCATTGCTACACAATGTATTTATAACGCATAATGAAACACTTACAAGCTAATATACATATTCTATGTGTCAAACCTCACTGGGATTTGCCATTCCTTCCTGCATTTCCCACAGTGTAATGCTTCTGTAGCACGAGCAGTCACGAAAGCAGAATATGCTCAAGTATGGATGTATTCACAAAACCAAAGTTGTCCTGGCTGTGCACACTGTGCCACGCACACTGCATTAGTTATTTTGTGTGAGTCAAGTATTAATATCTCCTAATTGAATTTATTATGTTTCGTAACATTTCTTGTATTATTTAAATGCAACACTGAAAACGCGTGTTGGTTTGGAAAGGCACATTAGTAATCCAATTAGAGCAGAAGCCATACCCATGGATTTGCTAGCAATCACCAAAGTATGATTTTGTTTAGATTAGCTCTGACATTCACTGCAATAATTAGCCATTGAATACTTTCCAAGTTAAAGGTTAGAGAAACACAAAAATTGAGACCAGTCGCATTGCTACAGCTGATTTCAGTGTAACTATAAATTCATCCCACATAGGCGATCAGGTTTATAGCGAGCCTGCATGCCTGGGTATATGGCCTCCATTGCTGCTTTAATCCTCCTTTCAGAGGCAAGTCATGGCTGAAATACAGGTAAACGGTATACATGGGCATAGTATACATGAATTTTTGTCTGTAGAAAGCTGGGGAGGAGAAGACTGGCCTGGGGCTGAAGCTGTGCTGGGACACCAGCACTACACAACTGGCAGCATCACAGTGCATCTCTAGGTAACTCAGGCATGGCATGGGACAGAGCTTTTGTGTGATTCTTCTACCTCTCCTGTCTTCTACCTGTAAGTTTTGCTGTAATAAGAGCTGGCAACTAGTTTATCAAGTAGCATGTACATGTCAGAGGCACAAATACCCTTTATAACAGATTTTCTTCTCTCCATTTTCAGTTGTGCGTACTGCTGCATGGCCCCAGTCACCGCCTAAGCTACCTCTGTATGTCTTGCTAGCAGTAATGGGAGTTACTCATGCAACATTTCTTCCGCAGGGAGGCAGGCAAACTACAGCCTCATCCTTCAGAAACTTCCATCTGCAACTGAGGTCAATGAGATTACTTCTCTGAACATGTGTATCATCTGAAGGACATCCTTTGCATTACAAGGGAAGAAAAAGCAATCCGATTTATTTTGCACAAAATGAGAAGTGTGTTTGCAGATGGGAAGAAACCAAAGAGACCAACAGGATGACAGCTCAGTGAGACTCCAAACTTTGTCCACCACACACACACACACAGAAGACAACCCCCAAGAAGCAGATGTAGTGACTCGCCAAACACTACAGGTTTCACAAGAAACTGTTCCCTGTAACCATTCTGCCCTGAGCTCCAAGGGAAAGATGTCACTTGGTCATTGTCCCTTATTGACCTTCATAAGCATGTGAATTCTCAGCTGCAAGGTATGAGCACATGGGCTAGGTGAACACGGTATCTCCTCCCTTCTCACTAGAGATCTGACCAGCTAATGCCTGCGTAATCACTGCTCCCACTGTGGGCTGGCTCACAGGGATGTTCTAAGCCCTGCAGCTTTCTGCTGCTCCCAAATGCCCTTCTCAGGCTCAGGCAGCAAAAGACCAATTCGTGGCATGGGGTCTGGGCTCCTGCCTGTGCTGCTTCTACATCTGCTCAGCAGGCAACTGGGATGTCTGCATCTGCGTCAGCTGGGAGTCACTGCAGGGTGGTTCAGAGGGGCTTGTGTCAGGGAAGATGAACCTTTAAATCCTAAGTTAATGGCATTCTTCCAAGGCTGTCCAAAAATAAACCCCCAATGTTTCAAGAATGTAATACAACTCCCGAGTTACCTTGGGAAAAGAAAGTGCAATCTAGTGCAGTGTGCTTTCTCTGTTCTTCCAGTTTCCTTCTGATTTCTTGTGCTTCTTTCAGCCTGCGTCTGGGTACTACAGGTATCTGCTTTGTTTGTGAAAATGAAACACCAGGAGGAATTGCACCTGGTGCAGGCGAAGCGTGTTTAGGGTGTGATCCACAAAAGGAGCAGGCTGCCCCGGGAATCCTGAGTTGGATCATGCATAAGAAAAGAGAGGAATCAGGTGCCCAAGTCTGGCAAGTCTAAAGAGAAGCTGTCACCCCCAAAAAATCTAAAGAGCGAACAGGAAGGACTAGGAAAGACTGAACTCAAATCTCTTATGTCCTCTTGGCTCATGTACTCATGCACATGGGCGATGGGAGCCCTGACAGTGCTTTTAGGCCGAAGAGTAGAGATTTGGAGCTTGGTTTTCATGTGTCCTTGGAAAAATACTTCAGCTACTGAGTATTAGGAAGCTGTAAGGACATCCCTTGTCAGATGCTCCCCCTGTGAGATCCACATCAGTAAACACGCTCTGAACCCTCCATAAACTGGCCTTGATGAGCCAAGTGGGCTTAGGGATTTTTACAGGGCTTAGATACAAGCTGGGGCTCCTGTGGTTATGTCAGCTTCTGGGGATACCTGCCCTGCAAGAAATAGGGGCACTGGTATACAACTGGGCATGTACCTTGGATGTCTCTGAGGCTAAGAAGAAGCAGAATGAAGTTTATCAAGGATCTTAGGAGTAAAGAAACATTAGACCTAAGTGGACAGAGTAACAATCAGATGCCCACATCACTTGGGGAACCCAGCTCTAGGAGCTAATTCAGCTCGCCCTGGAGTGAGTCGGGACTGCTAAGGGTCCTGCAGTGGCACCACTGTGACCAATGGTACCAAAGGTACCAAAAAGACTCAGAAACAATTAAGGCATATTACAAGTCTGCCTTTGGGCTCTGAAAAAGTACAGAAATAGCAAAGAAGGTATGTTCAATTTCATATTATTTCACTGTATTTCCCAGGCAGGAACAGGTAGTTTGAAAACAATTTACAAAGATTTGAATGGGTCCCTAATCATAGTTATAATATTTATCCTTACGAATAACTTACTTAAAAAATCAAGTCCCATTCTTTTGCTTCCCTGCCTCTGCTAGTTCCAAAGATGTCCCCTGTGTCTATGGAAACGGCCTTCCTGAACTGGGTCTTTGCAGTCAGTCTTTGGGTCCTTCCCAGACCGTGACCTGCCCCTATACATCCTGCTTAAATTTATCCTTCGGTGGGCTTCAAATGAGGATCACCAAACACTCTGATCTCTGCCTGCTTCTTCAAAGGGCCACTCAAAGGTAGCATCTGAGATGGAGCACAAACAGGCACTCAGACACAAACAGGCACTCAGACACAAACAGGTACTCAGACACAAACGGGTACTCAGACACAAACGGGTACTCAGACACATGGGCCTTAGGGAGTCTCTCTGCCACCAAGGAAGCTCCTGCCAGATCAATGCCTCTTGAATACCATGTCCTCTTATGCATGAGCCTGTATCAGCTAGAAAAGAACATAAACATCACTGCATGTTTCTGTCCAAATGCATCTTGATAAAAGCTGTGACTACACTTACAGTATGACACGGATCCACGTGCGATGGTTTATCTGCTGCTCGGATCCCTTCTCCTTTAGGCAAAAGATACAATCACTGCTATACTTCAGCTGGCAGACTCAAGTGTGCGAAATGTCAACTTAAAAGTTACTTTTCCAAGGTTAAATGCCAAAATCTTTTGCACTACTACAAATCTAAAGGAAAGCAAAAATGATGGATTCCCCAAACCCATGCAAGGCAAAGTAAAGTAAGTAAACAACAGAGTAAAATATCTGTATGAAATCTCACATTATGGAAATACTTTCAAACTTTTTTTACTATTCCTATTTTGTTTTCAGCAGCTTTTTCAGTGCTCAACCTGGTACTCAAGGTCTTGCCTGCAATTTTCCAAGCGGTTTTCAAGAGCAGGCCATTGTCCCGTCTCAGAAGTTAAGCTTAAGTTTTATTTCTTATTTGATTCTGCTGGAATCAGCAGAAGCCTTTTTATTACCTTCCCAGCATTGAAAGAGTGGCAAAGGACAGAGAATTTAGAGAAATGATCCAGAGCTGTGCATTTATTTCTGAAAGAGACTTGCGGCAATTCCCTTGCACCCATTTGTCCTGCTGAACTAGACACTTAGACCTGGTTTGCTTCTGGTTCTTCAGCAATTTGGGCTAGGACACATTAAATATGACTTAAGATAGCAGTAACAGCCACTTCTGACTTAGTAACAACGTTCTGGGGGGGAAGCCATCTGGGGGAGTTCCAAAGCAATTCCCTTCCATATAACCTACACAGATTTGTGGGTCCCCCAAAGAACAGTAAGGAAATCATTTGCATCAATCTCTGCAACTATATTGCAGAACTAGAAGATGCAAATTTAGGACCACAGAGAGTCTACATTCATTTTAGGTACTTATTTTCATATAAAAGTAATGAAATAAGCATTTCAGTGGTGATGCAAACACCAGAGGTGCATACTGGCTTCTCCTGCATTACATGAAGTCAGTACCAAAGTTGACAATTGCCTGTTTCCAGTTATTCAGCAGGTAGGAATGGTTTTGCACATTTCCCTGATAATCCCCTGAAGAGTTAGGTAGCAGCTAGTGTTTCAGACAAGAATGGCTAAAAACCATCATTTGTAGACAGGGGAATTCAGCCCATTCAACCCTCTGTCACTGAAGTCAGCAACATTATTCAAGTGAAGCACAATCACCCTAAAGCTGATGTAACTGCAGTCACCTACGTGTATGTTATATACAGGCCTGTCATGAGGAACTGCTGAAGAGCACTGGGTACAAAATTCAGGGCCGGATCCAGACTTCAACAAACAGTGAAATACTGGTTTAACCAACCCTTATCAACCCCAAGTTTGAATCTGGAGCCAAACTTGCCTACTTTATGCATTGACACAGAGTTTGGGCTCAGGCTAATGTTCTGAAGAACAACATCTTGGTTTTGACACCATCTTAACCACGCACACCATCCTTCTATAACTGCATCAGATACTGCACCAAAGACATTCAAGTCTCTTCCAAAAATCCCTTTGGGGAAAATTGTAGCATTACGGTAAAGATGTTACTGCATATTAGAGAAGACTTACAAAACCCCCAACTGAACACCCAATGAATACCAAAGCTGTCTCTGAAATGAAAACCTCCCAGTAGCTTACAGTGGTAATTCCACCCTAACCCCCTTCCTATTTTTATTAAAGAAACAAAAGGAATTTCAAAAACTCTACCTAGAATCACTCGTTTCTGCCAAGCGGTTGTTCATGATGGCCAGAGCACCCACCCCTGCAGAGAAACCGTTTTGTCTCGTGTTGATACAGACATTCCTCGGGTAGCCGTTGGCCGTCTCGGACAACTGCTTTTGCAGAATGGCCAGGGAGACTTTACTGGATGCTGTGAGCTCCCTCATGGAGATCATCTCTCCAGAGAGCCTCCTCCCCTCAGTGTCGCTGTCGTACTGTCCATCAGCGTCCACTGAGATGTTGTGTCGACGCAGGCGGGCTCCTGGGGTGATGGCATTGCGACGTCCAAGGCGGGCACTTGATTTATGGCACTTTGGGCAACATCTGCATTCGAATTTTTTCAACACCCAGTTCAAAACTTGCTTGATTACGATTGAGATGACATTAAAAAGAGAGTATATGCAACATACCCCCATTAATATAAATATGAAGTTTCCGAATCTGTATAATCCCTGATTTTGGTAAGCAGCGTTTTGGCTGCTTACCAAATCTCCAAACCCGATGGTGCTGAAGGTGACAAAGCAATAGTATAAGGAGTCAATGTAATTCCATCCTTCCACTGCCGTGTACATTGCGGAGGCGCAGCAGGAAAGGGTAATAGCAAAAATTCCCAGGATCAGCATTACATGGTAAACGGAGGGCTTCCAGCCCACAAGACTGCCCACCCCAGACATAGCTGGCCCCCTTCGGAAGTTGGGAGGTAGGAGACCGCTTCTTCTCAGCTGTCTTTCATGGCATGCCTTCATGATAAACGCCAGGAGAGAGATAATGCGCTCCAAGAAGAGGTTGAAGAAAAGAATAGTCCCAGCACACCCAAAAAGGCCATAAACGATGAGGAATACTTTTCCAGCCACGGTTGCTGGTGTGGTCATTCCAAATCCTAAGGTGGAGATAAATGTGTCATGTTAATGATATAGTGTTTCACATGTAAGCTCAGGACATATGTAACTTAACAAAGGTCCCATCCCACCGGACAAAAGACATGCTATTCCTAAGTCAGCTTAGGCCAACACGAAACCAAGTTTTGTTAAGAATGAAGAGGGCACCAGTAAGCCCAACAAGATGACTAAAACTCAAGAGCAAGTAAAAACTCCTCACAGAGATGAAAGGCAGCATATTACCACTCAGTAAATACAAGTGAAAGCATTCCTGAGTCCAAACCTCTCGGGATGAGGTGAAGAGGCCATTTCTCTGCTCCCACGTGTATGAGTCAGCATGACCTGATGGAAAGCTTAAGCTCTGTTACAAGCTGTAACCCAGCGTAACGCTTTTGTTTCCAAGGTCTGATTATACCATTCCCCGAGAAGATGAGAATTTTCATGTTGTAAAACAGGGAAAAAAACCCAACAACTCCCAAATACTGAATATTGTTTTTAAAATCACAGCATTTTAAAGCCTTAACCAAATCCCAACTGCGGCCAGCCCACCTGATACCACCACGGAAGGAAAAGCCATCAGCGAGATACCCATACTGCAGAGCCGTCTGGCAGACTGGTAATTGCAGCAGGCAAAAAACACTGCTGCACAGTTAAATAGGAAAATCAGAGTATGCAAACTCAGGAAAGAGACAGCAGCAATATTAATTCACCTCCTCTTTACAAGAATTGTATTTTGACATTACTCATACACCTACTTTTCTATATAAGTAGTAGTGCCTTGTAGCTACAGATGCTTAAATAACTGCAAAAGCGATCTTAAACTTGCATGCAGATACAGTAAGTTTGCTCCATGTTATTTGCTGATACCAGTTATTTTATGAAAAATAATAACATGTATTTCACATCCTATCTCTGAAACTCAATCCTGTAACTACTGTCCTTGCCCTGCTCTTCTTCCCCATAAAAATGCTCAGTTGTTCAGGCTGCTTTTATTTGTTCATGGCTAAATGTGGTGCCACATGAATAAATAACCACATTTAATCTAAATTAATGGTGTGTGACACATCCGCATGCCAAAACATCTTCACCTTAATGTTCTGTATAAATGCTGAGCAAGTAACATATTCAGGGAGGTGAATATCAACATCTGACCACATCAATGGCAGTTTGTGAATACAAACTTCTGGTATAGAGCATAATGACATCACTAAACCCAGTTTATTATCATGATGCAGCTTTAAACAGAACCGGAAAATTAGATGACACTGCTGCTTGAAATACATTGATTTATTTTTGCAATGACTCTATTTTTCTGTGTAATTTATTTGTGCTACCTGTGTGCTTCACTGATACAGCATTCTGCATTTGTCGATACAAGAACGGGAACGCTCATGAAAAGCAAACTTGGAAATGTCTTTTCAATGCCAGGAAGGTGCACGAGGAAGGAGGTGGTTCTACTTTCACAACGGATCTGGCATGCTTGGGAACAACTGTGTGCCAGCAATTCGGACTATACTGCATCATCGGTTTCTTCACAGCAGAAACAGTCTTTTCTGCAAAGGGCAGTGAAAAACCTTCACAGTATTACTAGAAAATAAAACATTAGCAAAAAGGTCCTCAGATTTTGCTTTCTGGACCCACAGCCTCTCTGTTTTGTCATGCTAAAAGACCACCTTTGAGGAGACCTCATGAAGCCTGCCTCGGGCTTCCAGGCTTAACATGTGTGACTGGGAAGCTCTCCTAGTTCCTCCTCCTCTATGGGGTGAAGCTGTTACCTGGGTTGGGCTGGTTGCTTGCAGAAGCCTTCTCATATGATGATGAATACCCACCAGGTCCTGGTCCTTAGAAGAAGCCACGGAGCTTGTGGTTGCCAGCTAAGGATATACGGCCAGCTCATTATGGAGAAAGCATCTGTTCGCCCATGCCTTGTCAGCAAAACATTTGAACATGTGCTTCACAGCGAGCATGTGAACATCACCATCAAAATAAATGGGTTTATTGTCACACATATGGCTAGACACATTTATTAATTAAAAAAAAGAGAAATAGTGACAGTTTGGATCAAGTTGTAAATGTGCTGAAGCTTTTTAGTATTTGCTGGGGATCATTCATGAGAGGTGGTGAAGTTTTGTATTTTTGATGAGGTTTGTTTAAGCAAGATCTTCTGACGCATTATTGAGCATGTAGCTATGCAAGGTGAAAGGACCCATCACAGCCATGAGAGTGCTAACAAATACATAAACCAGGCAAAAAGTAAGACTAGGCAAACACAGCAACTTCAGGTCAACAGCTAGCAGACAGAAGTGCACTCGTGCTTTTTGTGCAGCGTCTTCTTTTGCTAGCTGTGTTTGTCCCTTCAACACCACCTGGACCGTAAGGCATTAGTCCTGGTATGTTCTGTACAACACCTCTGAGCTCAGCCCCTGCTCTAAGGTAAGCACATCATGTCGTCAGGGTAAAACAAATTCATCCAGAACTGCCTGTGTTTCCAAGAGAGATGCTCTGCATTTCTTGGTGGCCCTGACACATATTGCACAGGTACCTTGAGGTTGATTTCTGTGTGGAACAGACACAGTATTTCAACCTCCCTCATGATAATTCTGCCCTAATCTACCTCACCACTTCTTGTCTCTACAAGCTCTATGGCAGCATTAATTTCAGCTGCTCAATCCTACTTCTCCCCATACAAACAGAATTGGAGATGATAAAAACTCTCAGGTAACACCCTTCAGCAGCCCCTCATGGGTAAGTGCTGGCCATTGACGAGTCCCTCATCCTGCCCTGCATAATAGGTTTTGTGGTTACTATTCTGCTCATCTGGATTTTTAACTCACTTAAGCTGGTGATGGAATCCAGAGGCAGTGAGACTGCACAAGCACGTGATACGATTCCTGTTGCTCCTGCTTTCTTTTCTTTTCCCTATTTTCTTATGGGTAAAAGAGGTTTGATGCCAGAAGACAAAAAGGAATAGCAGCAGCTTTAGTACCTGTGAGCTCCACTTTCAGGCCAGATGTTTTACTCTACTTTGAGATAAAAGGGAGTGAAAATTTTCCATTAAAGTTGCCTATTTACCCAGAGAATGAAGAAAGTTTTCACCCTGAAAACTGAATATAAGAAACTCTTCCAGCCTTTACCATGGCAGCGTGTCCCTGCCTCTTTCA